TTTTTTTTTTGGGAGGTAGTTAATGAAAGTGTTCAAAACGCAACATTAATTTCTTGACGACCTAATATAAGGACAACAATGGACCTGTTGGTCCATCTATGCCGTCCCATCCACTATACTAAGCTCTAAAATAAAAATACACTCAAATCCAGCCCTTATCACTCAAACCTTCCCTTAAAATCCCTCAAATTAACTGCATCTACCACATATGAAGGCAGCCTATCTCAAACACCAAATACCCTGTTAGAAAAATAAAATTGTATTAGTTGAAGATGGCTTCTACTCTGCCAAAATTTTTATTTTTGTTTCATAGTCTTACTATTCTCACCACTGAGTATGAAAAAAAAAATAATAACGATGTATCAACACTATCAATGCTTTTAACAATGTTAAACACCTCAGTCAGATCCCCCCCCTCTAACTCTTCTTTTTTTCAAGAAAAAATTCACAGATATTTACCTATCCTCGTATAACAACCTCTCCATCCAAGGTATCATTCCAATAGCCCTCCCTCTCTTTAACCCTTTCTGACAGTTTATTGCTCTTTCTAAGGTAAGGATCCCAAGACTGGACACAGTACTTCTCTTTAGACTTGTATTCAATATTTCTGTAGATATAATCAAAAATTTTATTTGCCAGTGACAACAGCACATTGTTTGTGTGGCTTAAGAGACGGATCAACCAGAACACCGATATCCTTCCATAACAATTTTAAAGTTATCTCCATCAATATAATACTTATAATTCAAATTGTGATATCCCACATGGATTATCTTGCATTTATTATAGCTAAAAGCGATTTTCCATTCATTTGCCCAACTCACGAAATAATCTAGGTCCTTTTGTAAAGCAACAGCATCATCCTCGCAGCCAGCAACACACAAAACTTTAATATCATCAGCAAATTTAAATAATCTATTGACCATTCCTTCATCTATGTCATTGACGTAAATAAAGAAGAACAAAGGTCTTAACACTGAGTCCTGAGGTACCATTCTTGTGACATTAATCAAGTTTGACTGAACTCCGTTTATAACAACCCTTTGCTTTCTTCATCCAGTTTTCTATCCAATGAGACAACTTATCTCCCACACCTACAAAGATAACGTTTTAACAAGTCTAATTACACTACAGCTTTTGACTGCCACAAGGTATTCATGAGCATCTAATTGCTGTGATATTTAAGTTCCAAATTGTTTGTACTTGACAGAATTGCTCAGTTCCTCCTTCCTTGTTAGAGGGCAGTATACAATGTTTTTCGCGACATCTCCTGCATTCCCATTTGTGCGCATAGAGAAGCACTAAATAAATTTCCACGAGAATATCATTTGAATTCACTGGCAAAATTAACTTTGTCAAGCGATCATCCTATTTCTCATCTAAGAAAATCTTAATTCCCAAATATAAATACTACGGTAGTAATGTATTACGAATGGCTAAATTCAACCACTCTTGGTTAAGGTGATTATTGTTTTTCATTTGTTTTATCATGGAAAAACAATATGTGAAACATGTTTAAATCTCAAAACTCATATTGATTGATTACCAACCAGAATATAATCAACGTAAACGTATCTTTGAATAGGCCTAATATTTGTCATAAAAATCATGTAAACTTCAGATGCTGTTTTGTTTTATTTTTTGTTTACATTCCTCTAATCTTGTACATTTCGGATTCAAAATTAGAGACGTATCAAAATAACATTTCAGAGGAATCTTTTGTCTTTCACAAGTCACTGCCCAATAGACCTTATGTACAATTTTATAATTCGTCAGTTACGTTTTAGAGAAACTTTTGTCTCTCATCGTGTAGCTCAACTGATTAGTTTTGGTACCGAATGAAAGGCCTCTTAAGCAGTAGCTTGTGGGAGACAAAAGATAGATCTGAAATTATGTTTACTTGTCTCTGATTGTGAAACCAAATTGGACAAGCTAATGTTTTCAGTTATTTATGAACTGTCATCAGATTGAACAAGGGTTTTGTTTCTCATGATAGGGAAAAAAATACATTATTCCAAAGCATGCAAAATATGGAGTTAATTGTTTGAACTTCCTCGTTGTAATAAGTTATGAAGTTCTTGTTATATACGTACATACACGTATTTAATTACAGAAAAATAATTCAACTTGTTATCGAGGTGTAGTATTTGTATGTACACTATATACATATGTCAGTATGCATATGTAGTTGTTTGTAATGCAATGGGAGTTCAAGAAAAAAATGTTTGTAACACTCGCAGAAGTATTGTTTGTTTGTTTAAAGTTAAATACAAAGCTCCACGATGGGCTATCCGTGCTTTGCCCACCACGGGTATCGAAACGCAGTTTCTAGCGTTATAAGTTAGCAGGGGGCTCGTAGAAGTATTTATTGATAAATGAAATCGATAAACTTCGGCTAAATTCATAGATTAAGGAAGACAATAGCTGCAGTTCGCCTGATTTTGATCACAAAATTTAGACATATTGGTCTTTTAATGCTTCGCCAGATTTTGATTTATAAACCGTAGCTTTTAACATAAAATTTGTTTCTTTCTCTGCATTTAATTCAAAGCGCCTACGGCCCAATTACCAAGCAAAATATTATCCACATAGATGTATTTTTGAATACTATATGCCTAATCATAAAGCAGGTACTGAACTTTTATCGACCAAATTGTATATGATTGTTTGTTGTTAAGCGACATGTTGCACAATGGACGCTTAACCAATGCGTTTGTGACATTTTGTCAATGTCAATGTCAATAAGATCAGTATTATTATACTATTATAATAACACAGTATCCATGCTGTGCCCACCACGAGTATCGAAACCCGGGTTTTAGCGACAGACGTCTTCAGACTTCCTGCTGAACCACTTGGGGCATTGTATATGTATCTTTAAATGATTTCTTTACATTTGGTGATACCTCTGTGTTAAGATAAGCTTGCCGCCTTCGAGGCGATATCGTATTTATAATAGCGTTGAGTATTTTATTGGAATAGTACGTAATTACAGTCATATTATAGTGTGTTGTCAATAGTTTTATATTACGAATATCTGAACAGAAAAAATGAACTAAGTGACTGTTGGAAAACGGAGCTCATCATAATCCGTCCGAATGTTAAATCGTAAACACAAATAAAAAAGAGGAACTGGTCCTTAAGCTCATTGTGATAGCCCGATCACAGCTTTATAGTTCGCGTATTGGACTGGGGATCTAGGGGTTTCCCATTTGAGACATAGTCAACAAAGCATGTTTTTCACTTTTAGCTGTGGGTACGTCATTAGAGTGACAGCTAATCTCGCTTTTTCGGTACGAATAGCCCACTCAAGTGGCGGGTGATGTCGACTGGTTGCTTGTATCATTGTTATGGTATGGAAGCCTTTGCTGGCGAAGTGTAATTATAATTAGTCATATTTGACATAAGACATTAATATTAGGCGTATTTTCTTCTTCGTTCCCTTAAGGTTTTTTCCGAGAATAAGAGTGAATAACAGTATTCAAACACGTTATGTCCGCCATATCCATTGCCGACAACGCATTTTGCTCAAAACTAGAACTCCTCAGGCCGCTCGAGATACAAACGTAGTAGTGGTCGGAATGCTATTTATCTATTCCATCTGTTAAAATAACAAATATTGTGGTGTGAATGTCTTTGCTGACGAAACGTAAATATAATAAATTATATTTGTCATAAGACAATGGTGTTAGACTTATTGTTGGCAATGGTTTATGGTGGACGTATTATATAATCTTCTCGGAAAAATAATAAGGGACCAAATGAAGAATTTAGTAAAACAACAAAAAAACTTACTACCTATGGTAAACTTAGGATAGGCTGTGCCTGAACCGTCTGGGTCTCTCACCTGGATCCCGCAGTGGGACAGCGGTAAGTGTACAGACTTACAACGCTAAAATCTGGGGCTTTACTCGGTAGACACAGTAGATAGCCTAGTTTGACTTTGTTCTCAAACGGACTCTGACCTTGTCGTTTAGATCTTTGAGTTACCGTCCAGCAAACAAATAAACAAATTTGAAATAAATAATATTTATTATTTGTGTTTAGAGATTTTACTATTTAGAAGAAACACATTTAAACTTTTTACTATATTACACTGATTCACACTCAGACATCAAGTCCAAAATCAGAGCAAGCACTTTTGCATCTTAAATAGTTCGATATTCTATGTTTTTTATATAAAAGAAATGTTTAGTCTGAGACTATCTAATATAACATACTTATTAGACAAACCTGCACATTGTTGCTTTTGAAGAGTTAAAGTGGCATTGTGCGTTTTCGTTTAATTGGCAAGTATATTGTGATTGCTCATAGATTTATATTTCTAATAATTAGCAAATGTATCGTGATTACTTGTGGATTTACGTTTCTGTGAATGGGTAAGTATAATGTGATTACTCGTGGATTTACGTTTCTGTGAATGGGTAAGTCTAATGTGATTACTCGTGGATTTACGTTTCTATGAATGGGTAAGTCTAATGTGATTACTCGTGGATTTACGTTTCTGTGAATGGGTAAGTATAATGTGATTACTCGTGGATTTACGTTTCTATGAATGGGTAAGTCTAATGTGATTACTCGTGGATTTACGTTTCTGTGAATGGGTAAGTATAATGTGATTACTTGTGGATTTACGTTTCTATGAATGGGTAAGTATAATGTGATTATTCGTGGATTTTCGTTTCTATGATTTGGTGCACGGTGATCACGCGTTGATTTTCGTTTGTAAAAGTTAGCAAAATGTATTGTGATTACTCCCGAATATGCTTTTCTATGAATTCGTGCACAGTGATTATTCGTTGATTTTAATTTCTATAAATTGGTAAGTATATTGTGATTACTATGAATTGACAAGTAGACTGTGATTACTAGGAATTAGTAAGTGTAGTATTATTACTCCTGGATTTTCGTTTATATTACTTTATATATTGTGATTACTGTCAATTGGTGAGTGGACTGTGATTACACGTGGATTTTCGTTTTTATGAACCAGTTCTTGCAGGACGTGATTCAGGTAATTATTCTATCGAGATGTGAATTTCGTGGAATATCAGTGAGATGTGCCTGATCAAGATTGAAACTAAATTAAGATGGTGCTATGTATATTTTTCCAATGTATAACTTAACATAGCTTTTTAAGACTGTTGACAAAGATCCGTAATACAAGGAAATTTACGTGTTTTTTTTTTGTTGTTGTTGTTTGTTTGTTTGTTTGTTTTGGTTTTGGTTTTTGTATTTTTGTGTTCCGCACTCCGTGTTTCGTGAGTTGAAGAAATCTTTGAAGATTCTTCCAATTTCGCTTGTATGTTAATAAAAGCTTTAAGCTATAATTATAGTTATAGTATTTTGGCACTTGTGTGTAAAGTTAAAATCATAAATAATATTCAACGTTAAACTGGTACGCAGTTAAAAACATTTTATTTAGGCTTATCTATGGCCTTCAAAAAGTTGACGACTCTACATGTTAGCTTTACGTTATAGTAATAATTGTTGTCTTCAAAGTATTGCTGTGAGTAATAAAATATAATCAACGACTGGCTGTTTAGGACAGTATTTTGCTTCAAGGCAATCAAGATCCATTAAAAATAACGGAAAAACGTACGTGTAATTTTTTGGAAGAACATTCATGATTTAATTACATTAAATAATCAGTGAAATTATTGTAAACATTTATCAATAATTCATCTTCATTATTTAAGCTTATCGTACTCCAGGAGTATGGTGACTCTTGAACATTTTGAAACTTCTACATTTTTGACTAATTACACAGGCCTGCGATGGTTTTATTTACTTGAAATTTTTACATGTTCAATAGTAATTTTTGTACGCTGAATCCGAAAATGGTATTTTCTGTATCACGTATAGATTTTTCATAAAATGTCTTAACGCAATACATGAAATTTTGAGACTAAAAGACGTAGATTTCACAAAAAAAAAATCAGGATGCATATTCGTTTGGCATCAGTGTTCTTCCCTTTTCTTCAGTTTGTTTGTATTTTTGTTAACAAACATAATAATAAAAATATTCATTGTTGTAAACGAAATAATAATTTGATCTAAATAAGTCTTTTTTTTAAATTCAGATTTCTAAAAAAAAAACCTTACGTGATAGAAAAAAATAATATTATTTACGAAATCTGCGTAGGTGAATTGTGGAAAATCCGTTATTAAAACCAAAAACAACTTTTATGAAGTTTAAATTCACAGGCTTGTGTTACAAATACATGCAAATGTTCTTAGATAATGTTAAGTACGTTGGTTTTTAATGTGTCACTAATATATGCAACGTCCTTATGGAATGTTACGTACTTACTAGTTGCATGTGTCTGAATCTGATTTCTTTTCAGAGTCGATGTTTTCCATCAGTAAAGTACGAATTTGTTAGTATATTGCTGCCACTCGTTGATTTCTTGGTGCAGTAAACGAGTATTTTTGTGATTATTTAATCGTGTTTTGTTTGTTTCAGAAAATGGCTCCCAAGACACCAGAAGCAGTGACGAGTACAGTACCTACTTCAAAAGAAAAGGTACAACCAGAAAACCTACCCCTGGTTTGGACAAATATTACCATCTTCATCTTCTTGCACGCCACAGCTATAGTGGGGTTATATTATGCTGTGACGCAACCCACATGGCAGGGGTGGGTACTTGGTAAGTGAAATAATAGAATGGGTAACAAACTACTAAACAATAAAATATATACGTGAATATAATGTTTAGTTTAACGAAACTCGAGAAAATGGTTTTCACTACTGATATTGCTCGCTTTCAAATATTTTTGTTATAGTCCATGGCTTTGACTTACGTTCATTTTGTGTTCACATTTACCAAAGAACAGCTATTTTTCGACCATGTATCATATTTTTACCCATAGTTCAAGTTTCAAACGACAGAATTGATTAACTTTTATTCTATATACGTACCGTGAATTAACAATATTAATATGGAATTGTAAGCGTATTTGCTGCCATCTCTTGGTAACTGTAGAAATATATTTCACCAAATTAGAAGAGTGTTAATCCAGCTCGATGGTCCTACCATCTTTTGACAAAATAAGTGTTCGTATACTTGTAATTTCGTTTATATGACGTGAAATTTATACTCTAAATACTATTAATGCATTTACTTTGTACTGTTATTTGTTTTACGACATTTTTAGTCTGATGTATATAAGTAATTTGGAATGACTTAGAAAAATGATTGTTTAAAATACAAAATAATTCATTTGATCATTAATTAAGCGTAAACTTTGCTTTCATTGTTGTAAACATAATTTATTTTATTTTTCAAGGTAACGATTATAAGTAATTACATGTTGTGCAGGAAACAGAACAATAAAATGTCATTTCTCAGAAAATCATAGACTTAAAACTATATGTTAATCTAAGAAAGAAAACAATTGAATTTATCTTGTTTTAGGGGTCGTTTCCTCCTTTTGCTCTGGTCTTGGAACAACCGCTGGTGCTCATAGACTCTGGTCTCATCGGGCTTACAAAGCAAAACTTCCACTTCGAATTCTTCTAATGCTATTTAACTCCTTAGCTTGTCAGGTATGGTAACAAGTAAGGAAATGTTATCACTTACGATATCATAGCTAATGTGTTGTCATACATGGTAACCATTGGAATATAAATAACTGTGGGAGTAATATGAAAATTATTTATCAATAACTTCTTGTCAAAGCGAGCTAACTCATAGATAAAAATCAAAAATAATGTAATAAGAAATGCAATGATTCATGAGTTGAGTATCTTCGATATTTTCGGTCGTAATCCTAATAATATCTTATGAGGTTTGGACAGCTTAGGAGATTTAGGTTCGTTGCAAATCTGTATATAAAGTAAATAATACAAAATAATATTTATAAATGTAATATATATATAGGCATATACACGTACGTAACTTTTTCAGCAGAACCCCCTATTTTGTGATGTAAAAAAAAAAAATATGCTTATATAGTTATAGCGCAGCTGCTTATGGTATTTAACGCTTTGGATGTTTGTGGATTTTATGTGACTAGCCATGCAATTGTTTAAGCTATATTTCGTGCAAAATTGCTTCTAGATTTAATCTCACAGCACCTTTTTTTTACAAATTTTCTCAGGAAATGCCTGAGACCTCCGTAGCATTAGCATGATCTAATAAATTAGAACCCCCCCTTTCAAACATTCTGCATACGAGCCTGATATATTACATATTACAATCAACGCTATTAATTAAATTAACTTTCAAGAAAGAATGGAATATAACTTTACCTACAAGACACATATAAACTACTTGTTTGCGTCATGTACCTGCCACTAATTCTCTGTCTCTATAAAAGCGTGACAGCAGTATACACGAAACTATATCATTTCCCTTAACACAGACAGGCTATCATCGATGGTAATTATGCCAATCATAGAGTAATTACTGTTAAAGTTTTGTTATGCAAGATTACCAAGGTGAAATTAGTGTGAGCTATGGTATTTAATTCTGCATATATTTTTACATTATTAAAAACTAGCGAAACTACCTGGCTTCGCTCGGGTTATTAGGTTAATATATTCTAGATTACTATGTCAGTGTGCGTATTCTGAACTATTTTAGCATCCCGCAGGTGGACATAGTCGTCAACTCGGAGCTTCGTTTGGTTTATGCGAATGAATCGCAGGCTTTCTGTTTTAATTTTGGCATACATTACGATTTTCCCCTTTAGTGACGGGGGTGCAAGGGGGCTGTGAAACATTGTAAATGTAGTAAATTATTTTATGATTTAAATAAATTAATAAATAAGTCTGAAGTAAAGACATAGTGTGAGATAACCTAGCCTAGAGCCAAGTGCATAAAATTTATCATGAAAGTAAAAATATCGATCCAATTTTAATCTTAAATTGTTTCTGAATTAAAGTATTTTCTCTTATATCACCAACGTTTTTGATTAAAAACAAACCACTTTAATCAACGGAGACTCTAAATTAAGAAATCAACAAATATTTTTCCAGTTTTGTTGTTTATACAATTAATTTTATACTTTCAGTACATAGACTAACAACAATATCAGGTTATACTTTTGTAGCTAAGCAACATGACATAAAGCCATTGTTGAAACGCATTCTTGCCAAAACGCACTGGCTTTTCCATATATTAGAAGTAGTTAATTTAACTGATATACTACAGGGTATGCTATGGGGTGGTAGTACTTGCCTCGTCCTTTTTGACGAGCTACACGTTTATAATAAAAGAGCGTGTCTGTCTGGCTGTGATTTTTATTTGCAATATAAGGAACCACTTCTTTTCTATGTGGTTTCTCGCTAATTTTCCTTGTTAAAAAGACGCGCATGAGCGCATTCACATAGATAAGTAATAATACCCAGGTGCAAACCCTCAGGGTCCACTCAGTATGGGTGCAAATTTTCAGGTTTCTAGGTTCTTTCTTCTTGGAGCTATGGCGATTACATACACACACAGACACGCCCCTTTTATTATTATAGATAAACTAAAATAAATTGTTACAGAAAATACAAAAGAAGAGCAAATAATTTCAGTAATTACTAGTATTTTGTATTTACTTTAAACACCTTGTTTTAAGCTACCATAAGTTTATCAATGTATGATTGTAGATATTTTTCCAAGCGTTTATTATTACTCCCCACGATTCAACCAAGTGATTTGGATGCCATTTGATACTTTTAGTTTCTATTTAAGCCTTTACAGGCTTAAAAATATTCATATCGGAACTTTGTGGAGGCCAAGCCATGGTTGTGAATGTTCTTTTGAATGTTTCATTACATTTGCTGCATGCTTGGGTTCATTTTTTTGCTCTAAGGTGAAACCCTGTCTAACAAACATTGTTCCCGAGGAACTGGTATTACAGATAATAATATGTTTGTACCTGTCAGCAGTCTGGGTACCATAAGTTCTGTTTAGCCATCAATCACCAATGACTGAGACGTAGAGCACACTTGTAACATATTTCATTCTGACCGTGATATCGGGTTCCCCTTTGCCATAGAACAAAATAGCATTGAATGTTTCTAAACATTTTGAAATTGGATTAACTTATAAACAACACTTTTCTTCAGTTTTGATTATCCTCTAGTTTGAAGTCTGATGCCAATTTCAGCCTTTTGGTTTGGTTATCTGTACTAAGCAATGTTTTCTGAGCAGCTTCACTTCCACTGACGTCGCTTTATGCTAATATATATTGTATCTTACCGTTCTGGAGGCAACACGTACATTTGTACTTATATTTAAATCAAAGGAGAGATCTGTACTGAACTGTCTTTTCTCATGTTAAGAACATTTTCTGAGTTATTTAACATCCCGTTTGAAGGATTTGGCCTTTCTACCTCGACTGCTTGCTAGTTTCACATACCCCTTTCAAGTGTTCCCAAACAACTCCTGCTAAAACATAAACTTTCACCCCGGTTTGTTGCGTGTAGTATCCTTCACCAACACAATTCTAAGATTGCAGTTCTGATAAGGGAGCCACGAGTGCATACACCATACTAGTGCCCGGAATAGTATGACTAACTGTATTTTTTACATGGATTATATTTGATGTAGCCCTGTCTGATTAGCCAATCTCAGTGTAAACTTTCAATACGTGACTTTGCGTTGGTACAGTTATTTTTCATATAGCAGAGGGGAAACAATCCCATAATATAAGCATTTTATTCTCATTTTCATTTTTTTTCGCTGTTTCCATAATTATTTCCAAGACTGTTTCTGTTCCTAGATCAAGTAAACTCTCTTTATATATGTATATATATATATATATATATATATATTTATTTATAATCTGTGTATGTATCTAACATTAACATCACGATTAAATATTCACATAGAACGATATTTATGAATGGTCACGTGACCACCGGGTTCACCACAAGTTCTCGGAAACCACCGGTGATCCCCACGACATTAATCGAGGATTCTTCTTCGCTCACATGGGATGGCTGATGAAGAAGAAACACCCTGATGTGATCACAAAGGGAAAGACGGTTGACTGCAGCGATCTGCTTGAGGATCCTGTCATACGCTTTCAACGAAGGTAAGTTTTGCACATGAAAACTATACTACACCTGCACGTTCAACATCTTCAAAACTTCAACTTCTGGTTTTTTTATCGACTCAGTTGTATACCTCCATTTTTATTATTATTATTTTCTTTTTTTTGCAAATTTCATATACCAAGTTCTGATTGGCACATCTCCTTGAGATGTAGTATGACTCTGTTTCTATGAATTTTGTCATAACGTTTCTTCTCCAGGATTAATTCAATTCGTGTCTTTTTGTTGAACTTCCGTTTCAATTAACTCACAGCTGGAGTATCAGTAATTCTATGTAATGGAGTCGTTACTAAGTGGTACCGTTTCCTTCTCGACCTTTCAGTTAAAAACTATTTCAAGCTCCCAAAGATGTGATTTTGATGTACAGTACCTAAACTAAATGTGTAGTGTATAAATATAGCAACGTAATTAAGTTCGTTAAGTACAGTATTTGGATAGGAGATGTTATTAGGCATGTTAAAAGTAGCTAAGTAACGACGAATAACTTAAATAAAATACTGAAATTAAACAAAAATTCTGAAATTGAAGAAGTAGAAAAGGATAGCACACACACTTTTAATGTAATTCACAACTGATAAATTGTAGAAAGTTTGTTATTTTTTACTCGTCATTTTGGCACTAGATAACTTTATATTCAAGTTCACACACTTCTAATAAACGTTTTTTAATGAACAGGTTCTACGTACCCCTAGCCTTTTTTTGTGGTTTCTTTATACCCACTTTCATCCCCGTGTATTTCTGGAATGAGAGAATATGGTTCGCCTTCATAACTAATGGTATTCTCCGCTACGTCGTAACACTTCATTTCACGTGGCTCATCAACAGTGCTGCCCACTGGCGAGGAAACAAGCCTTATAATCGTTTCATGACCGCAGTTGAAAACATTTACGTGACGTGGTGGGCTCTAGGAGAAGGGTTCCATAATTATCACCACACCTTTCCTCATGATTACGCCACCAGCGAGTATGGCTGGAATCGTAATTTCACTTGCATGTTCATCGACTTTATGGCTATCCTTGGACAGGCTTACGATCTAAAAAGTGTACCGAAAGAAGTTGTGGAAAAAACAAAACTAAAAACTGGTGATGGAACAACGACATTCGGGCCATCTGTTGAAGAGCTTCAGAAAATGAAACAGCACTAGTGAATTGTGCCAGGAACATCTAATATTATTATGTAATTCATTTTTGTAAGCAGCAGAAAGGATAAAAAAATAAGTAAATGTTAATATTTATACAATAATGATATTTACAATGTTATGACACAGCTGTAACAACATACTATGATAAAATACTCGTTCATTATTTTTTTATAACTTGGAATCTAGAAGATTATTGTGATGATGATGTTAAACAACCAGCTTAAAGGCGAACCTGTCATCATCTTGTAGAATATTAAATCTCCACATTTACGATCAGTGAGCTGTTAGCACTAAAAGTGACTGAGGGTAAAGGAATTAATCCTTGAAAGGCTGTGTCCCAGTTTTGGAGGAGTGGTTTTCAGTTTGTTTGTTTTGTATTTTTATTGCTTAGTCTATTAACGTTAACAGGAATTGTACCTGTGATAAATAACATTATCTGCAAACAACCATGTCCAAAAAAAAATGAGTTGTTATTAAAGAATAAAATTTGAATACGAAACAATTTCCTCAGAAAATTGACAAATTTTTCTGGATGTTTAAACACGTCTCACACATAAAATTCACCCAGCTATACAAAATGAATATGGTAGGGAAGCAAAAGGTTCTCTTTCTTCTCTTAGCTTACTGTTCCTCGTAAGCTCCGGTGTTTACTAGTTGAATAAAACTCATTATTTCTGGTTCTCGCTCTAATAGAAACTGTGTTCTAATTTTAAGTATAAACTAGGTTCAAACGTTTTAATTGGGTTTTTTTTTCACTCGCCATACAAAAGCGATAGTAAAGTTTCAATCATTAGTATAATTGAAATCGTA